CTTTCTTTTCTTTCTTTCTTTCTTTCTTTCTTTCTTTCTTTCTTTCTTTCTTTCTTTCTTTCTTTCTTTCTTTCTTTCTTTCTTTCTTTGTTTGTTTATTGCAGGCTTCTTTAACCTAAATTGCCACTCTAGTGGAGGCTTTCTTTTTTTTTGTTTTCTGTTGCTAGATATACACCTCAAGAGATTCCAATTACTGCCTCTAGACATACACCAAAAAAAAAAATACAAATTACTGCCAATTAAAGATAATGAAAGTTAGGAACAATATTTCTACTGGGAGTTGACTGAACTTCACTTCGTGTGGGAGAGAAGAAAATGACTGCTTGGTGATGTGCCTTTTGAGCAGAAAAACATGAAAACAGGTGTAAAGGAATCAGATGCCTGTCCAGTATCTGATGCGGAGTTTGAGGGGAAGCAAATTTTGCCCAATGCTTCTATTTGTGAATGGAATTGCTCACGAGCAGCAGCATTCATGAACTGAAGAATTACTGAATATTGTGCTAAGTGAAATAAGCCAGCCACCAAAGGGCATTTCTATGGGGCTAAATAGTCTAAGACAGTAAGAACTCATACGGCAAAAGAAAACAGATTTGTGGTTGCAAGGACCAGCAATCTAGTTTCAGTTACTCAAGATGTGAAAGTTACAGATAGGTTTTGTACAACATTGTTCCTATGTGCTATTGTGCACTTAAAATTTTGTTGAGTATAAATCTAATGCTAAGCATTCATACCACAATAGTGTTTTAAAAAGAATCAGATATAGGTTTGAAAGTTAGCCAACCCCTTAATAGATACGGGCCCTGAATAAGTCATTTATTCCTCTGAAGATGTATTTATTTGTCTCTGGGTGAGGGTAGCATCTAAAGGGTACTGATAATCTTCTGTGTATGTCTCATGCATATGTGGAACAGAAGAGACCCTGGCTGTTAAGGATAAGGTCAGGAAAGCATTTGGAAGGTTTCACAGGAACCAACAGCTTTGTAAATCTGCCCAATACTAAGCACCACATAAGTTTTTTGATGTGTTCTGATGACAGAAAAAAGCAAGAATGAACCAGAAAACTGGAATTTCCACTTTTTAACCTTTTACTGAAGCCAGTGGCCCTAAGAAGCAGGCCACAAATACCTGGTTTTTAATTTTTAAATCCTGTGATACTGTCTTCGAGGCACAGGTATGAATCCATCTGGCTATGAAAGAGCAATGCATAGACACACACATATGCATGCATGCAGTGATCTAGAACTTGATGGTTTTGTGCTCCTACAATTAACTTCAGGGCAATTAAAAAACATGACCTTCATTTAGCTAAACTTATCTGGTAAAAACACGGTAAACAGACTAACATCTGGAGCTTTTCAAAAAATTTATTACCCTGCAATAAACAAAAAAGGAGCTTAATAAAATAATACTCACATGAATCAACACAGAATAAAACCCAGTCTCCTCCTGCCCCCCAATGAGATTATACCTATGACTCAACCACGTCTGCCACCTTGAATGGAAAATTTCAGTCCCCAAATTTTGAAAGTCAAGATATTCAGGGCTGCTTATCTTGGTTTAGAATAGAAAGTCTGACAGGATTTTAATTATAGTGTGACAGCAGCAGCAGTAATATAATACCATAAAGCACTGAAGAAAGAGCTCACTAATGCCTTCTGAAACATTTCTGGTACTAAAGGTTAAAGAGTACTTATTTCAAACCAAAGGAGCCTAATTTATTCCACCAGCGCATAAATCAATAGGAACAGCCCGTCCATCCCCTTTTGTTCATTTCCAGATTTGCAAGGGTGGAGGGAGGAGGCTACGTCTCTTGCTAAAACTTTATTCATTTGTTCTTCATGGAAGCAGCTTGAGCTGTAGCTCATGAAGAATCATTTTCCACATTTGTTAGTTCACTGCAAAAGAGAGTTTCTCTTGTCAGGCCACTGTAACTAAATCCCAACCTGAGACCCAGAGGTTTCTGACTGAGCAACGTACAGGAGGAAAGTCCAAAGAGGAATAGAAGAGGGGCTGTGTTTACAGTAAGCAGAAGTCTGTCAGGCAAGATGGTGCCTGCAGAGAGAGCTGAGCTTGCAAAACTTGTGTCTGATGAAAACGCTTTCGAGTACCAGTTGCTTCGTTTTCATGCAAGTTAGCACTGCAACTCATAAAGAACAAGGAACAACAAATCAAGAAATTGGGTTAACAAATCAAGATAACAAACCAAGGAACTTGGATGTTAACTGGGATAGGACTCATGGACAACAAAGATTTTTTTTATGGGTGAGGATTGCAATATGTTTACAAACATCTACATATGCATATTATATTTTAAAAGGAAATTCAGGGAAATTAATTTTTATTTTATTTAATTTTATTTTTTAATTTTTTTAAATTAAATTCTTTTATTGGAACATTGTACGTATACAACACAATTACATTCCTCATTGGGAATTGTACCTTTACATAATGTGTCTTGGTTCTTATTTTTTCCCCATTCCTAGCTCTCCCTTCACCCCCTCCACCCTTCCCTATTTACAAAGACTTTATTTCCATTTTTTCCATT